AAAACTGAAAAATTTAAATATTTTAATCGTTGTTGAATATTGTTTCTTAATTGATCAAACAATGCTTAATTGATGAAAGCTTTTTTTTTTTTTTACATCAATAAATTTGTTGAAATGAAATACATAACTTTTCTTTTATCCTTTTTTAATATTAACAAATTTTCGATGCTAAATCATTGTTTAAATTTATCTGTTTATTTATTGTTATGTAATTTAAATTTAATCAACAATAGGCAAATTATTTAGTTTAATTTTTTTTTTTTTTCGTTTCCTTTTAAAATTTATATAAATCATATACGTTTTGCACTTTTCTTGCACCATCTTTGTTTACAATAGAAAAAATGTATGACTCATATTCCCTTATCTGTGATTCTCTTCTTGTCATAAAATTTTTGTCGCCAGTTAAAATTTCTCTTTCATTTAAACAATCCGTTAATTTAACTTAATGTTCTAATTCCATAACATTTCTCTCCTATATTTTCCCATTTGAATTATTCGCAAATTTAATTTAATGTTATAATTTTTTTATTGCTAATTGTAGTAGAATTAGATTATAATTAATGTAAACTGGAAAACACATCCCATTCACTTATCATCTGTAATGAATAAATTGAATTGAAAATTTTAATTCCACTACATAAATTTGCTTAACTTTTATTTAGCACAATATTTACATCAGACATGTTTAAAATTTAAACAATTAAATTATCCCATAAAAAGAGTTACAAAATTATTTTAAGAAAAATTCATACTCCTAAGCACAATATCATATTAGAATGTTTAACACTCAATGATATCTAACATTGAGAGAGATGTTATCAGGACAATTTGAATATCATATCAAATTTTATCACATCAACGTTGTTTACAATAATTTTCAAAGATCATTTATTAATAATTTCATTTGGCATCTATAAATTTATATATCAAAGAAAAGAAAAAAAAGGTTTGATGTTGTTCAATACTCAATGATATATCGTTAAGATGTTATCAGGACATATTTGATTATAATTTTGTTATCATCTTTTCACCTTCACCAACAAACATCCTTTCATTCTTTTCAATTATTTCTATTTTGTATATATTATGAAATATCGCGATATATCTTATAATATTCTACTAGCAAGAATAATCACAATATTTCTCATACATTCATCATCCATTCATTCATTTTCATTTATTCATTCCTTTAATTCCAATTTTTTGTAAGGAATTCTACTATATCCCATTTAGGAAAGGTCGGAAAAATTATATTACAATAATTGGATGATGTTATCAGTCGAAATTAATCATCTTATCATGGACAAAAAGAAAAAAAAAAGGTGTAGCCAAAAGGAAATAGATGAAAGGTAGAGGAAGGAAGACAAGACGTAAACAAGAAGAGATGGGTGACAGGATATGCACAGCTGTTGGGTATATTACCCTTAAATCGTCAATCCACTGATCCATCTACTATCCATCTATCTATCTAGCTATCTATCTAATCTATCTAATCTATCCAATCTATCTACCTATTTCAGTATTCTCTTCCGTTAATAGCCATATTCTCTTCCTAATCTTTCTATTATTTATCATTGATAGAAATTTCAGAAAGAAAATCATTCTAATTTCAAAATGCTTTACTATTTTCTATTTTTTTTCTTTCAAAAATTATATTTTACTCTTTCCTCTATTTGCAAAATATGTGCAAAACTTCTTTTCTTTTTTTTCTTTTTATTCTTTTATTATCTATTTGATAATTATTCTTTCTTTTTTTTCTCTTTCTTTTCCTCTCTTCCTTTCCGTACCATTTTCATTTTTAATTAATCCATCAACTATTTAAATAAAATATGTTATTATTGTTTTAGTTATTGTAACAATTGGTCACATTACGGTTGCTTGCTTTTTCAAGGTGCCCTGCTTTCTACAATATCAATAATGATATATAGTTGTTAATTATCCCATTTCTCATTTCTTCCTTATTCTCCCCGTTTTCCCCGCTTTTTCCGCTCTCCCCGCTCTTCCTGCTCTCCCGCCCTATATATATCTTGATTTATTAAGCGTTATTTTGTATTAATTTATACCTATATATCGATGATAATTAGACTTCATAGGTGGTGAAACTGATATGATGATAATGAAATGGTGATAATGAAATTTATCCTTTTAAATTGATTTTGATTCAGTGTGTATAACTTCATATGATTGATGTATGGGAATGTATATGTCCTACCTCTGTATATATATATATATATATATATGTGTGTGTGTGTGTGTGTGTGTATGTATGTGTGTATGTGTGTCTGTGTGTGTTTATATATGTCTGTGATATTTGACAAATTAAAATTTATTTTCCGCACAATCACTTTCATTTGTCAACTTTTCTGCTGGTAAATTAATTTCAAATGATCGTTGGCCTCCTTTGTAATCAACAGGTTAGTTTGTCCATCAATTGTATACTTCCTTAACAATTAGTACCTCATCAATTCCATCTTATGTACTATTCTTCATTAACATTTTAAAACAACAATATTAGTAATAGTGATAATGATAATGATAATGATAATAATTATTAGAATTTTTTCCATTCATCATGGAATTCTATTTTGAAATTTTGGAATAATTGAGAGATCGATTTGATATTGTTATTATTGTTGGGTATTATTTTATGAGGATTTTGTTACTGAAAAAGTAATTCTTTCATGGATATTTATTTACATAATTATCTTTTTTTTTATTTATTTGCATATTTATTTGGATATTTATTTACATTCGACTTCTAACTCACTTTAGACCTTGATCTTATCATATTCTTAAACTTTCCACATTTAACACATTTCCGATCCGAGCATGCTCTACTTACTTGTCACATTTTGAACTTGTCACATCTATTTATCGAATCTTTTCCGATTATGCTTATTCACGTTTTATTCCATCTAACGTATTCATCGTTATTTTCCCTTTTATCATCCATGTATTTCCAAATTAAGTTAACCCTAAAACTTGTATCGTTACTATAGACTTACTCACGCATTTACATACATGCACTTTTTTTTCTTTTTAAACCTTCCTGGCACTAATTTAACTCCTTACTAACATAAATGGATTAACATTGTTATCTGTATTCGTTCATCTTTGATACAGTATTTAATAATTTTCAAATAAATGCCAAATTTAAATAAATATCTGGAAATAACATATGCTTGAATTATATGAAATTAGTTTATTCTTTTTGACATCTATTTAAAAAAGAAAAAAAAGAAATTTATCAAATTTTGTAAACTCCAAGGTTCTTCCTGGTACAATATATCCCAGATGTTTTCTCTTTCATTTTTTT